TGGGTTGATTAGCCTATAACAAGGATGTACAATAAAAGGGGATACGTTTATAGTATAGTTGTAGCACGAATGGGTCGGCTCGACCGGGGAAGGACCACGCTCTCACAGAATACCAGCGTGAAATAGTAGCTTAATGCTGCTGTATTTCGTATGGTGAGTGTAGAGAACCGGAGACCCTTTTTACTGGAAACGAGGCATTCCATCTTAGTCCTCACGGGTGACAACGCATCTGCACTTTGATTCGTAATCGAGGATAGATGTAGATGTCTATGGGCCACAGCAACCACTTACCATCAGGTGGACTGTGTGCTCGTTTGTCACCCTATGCTATTAAAAAAAAATAAAAAAAATAACCCCTTGTTGGCCGGCCGGCCATTTGCAAATAATGCGCATCTGCTAAGGCATTAGCAGGTAATTTCCGCGATATCGGCGCGTGGCGATTAAATTAGTAATTTCTCTAAAATATTGTATGGGAGATATGTATAAAACTTATGTCATTTGAATCGTTATATTATTTGCTATTATTTTGTACTTATCTTAGTAGAATACAACCTAATAGATTTTATTAAGCCGATTTCAAAGTTAGAAAACCGAATTTTTAATAGTATTTTGTACATAATTTGTGAAAATTAAACAGAAAAATCATTCATTTATAAAATAAATCTAATTTATTTTCATCAATATACACTAAAATAAACTATAATAAACTAGCTTTTTACCCGCGGCTTCGCTCGCGTGGGCTTGAATTTAGAAACATCAATAATACTATTTCGTACTAAAGGTAGCAAAACTGGATCACTTGTATATAGGCTACAGAAACACATAAGTTACTTAGTTTATCAGAATCACATATTATCATACGTAAAGCCACACTTTTTTTTAAAGCGGGCACGTATTCCGATGTCATTATGAAGGGAAAATTGTCCTGGAATCGGAAATGCGTTATTTACATAATAATCGTTATTAAAGTTGATACAGTTTTGATAAAATAAATAATTTTATTTCACGATCTTTATTAATATTGGTCCCATTGTATATTGATTACCACCACATACCAGTATTTTTTTACGTTCGAGTAGACTTCAAAATTTCATAAATGTCGTTCTGTTCACGGAGAACGTGTGAGAAGAATTAAATCCATGAACAGGAGTAGAAATCTACATAAGATGGGCAGCAGCATCTTCCTGATCATAGTTCAAAATAATAAAAATATGCAGTTGGCAACTTGCAAGCCAACTATGGCAAATATCCAACCTTATTAACTATTGGAAATCTAATTGATGAACGGGAGTAGAAATAATATAGAAGCCATGTAGAGGTGCCGAAAAAGAAACCACTACCCCATTTCATCCCGCGGGTGTGTTGAGAGGCGACAGACGAAATTGAAACAGGAGATGGGCAGCATCTTCTCGATAGCAGCGCAAAGTAATAAAGAGCTGCGGTTGCCAACTCGCTTGCCAAGCGTGAATACTACTGCAAATATCTGGTCTATTTGACATAGGCAGTGGGGGAAGCCTATGATCAGCAGTGGAAAGCCCCATTAAAAGTAAAAAAGTAGCAGCCTACATACATCCTGAGCACAGGTCACAGCGAGTTTAAAGTCAAAAAGGAGTTGATTAAGTTGACTCCAATGCGGAATGACCTACTTCATATACCTATACCTAAAAATAATTTCCGAAATATTTTTTAACATCTCGGATATGCAGGTTTCCTGCGATGGTTTTTCTTCACCACCGAGAACGTGGTAAATCGAAACTTCAAATTGCAGTTAAAATATTAGTGGAATCGGCGCGGATCTAATTAATTTACTCGTGTGAACTATGCAACCAGGACTGTCATAAAATTTTTAATAGTTATTTCTGAAAATATGAAAGCTACCTTATTATATGACAAACTGTTTTAAAAATCTCAAAGTAAAAAGTCTCCATCAACGGTATCACGAAATATTCCATCAATTATGAATGTAAATCTCATAGTGCATTTGATTTTCATTTATACTTATATCGGACTTGATACAAAAAGAATTTGGTGAATTTTACTTTTTTATTTATATAACATGAGCATATTGTATTATATAATACATTAACTTTAAAAGAAAAAAGAGCCTCTTTCAAAAAAATTAACGAAATGGTTATTTGAAAAATGTTTCTATGGCCTAAAAGAATATTTAGAATGTAAAAATTAGTTTATTATTTATGTGCTCCATTTATAGATAGTTTTTGTTTTAAATATTTGCACGTCTGAGAGCCGACTAAACACATGTTACCTGTCTATATTATAGATATTTAACTGAAGACTCCGTCAACTGCGTTTTATGCAAATCACCTGGATGACGAGCTTCGCTCGGTATTTTTTTTGGAAATCGTGTTTTTTTGAAATTGTATTTATACGCAAATTACATACTGATGAAATATGAATAATATTTTTCTATCTTACCGACATAATTAAATAAAACTGAACTGGTTATTTAAATAAAAAATCATGAGAGCAATTAATTTAATTTAATTATTTGTGTTTTTAAAAAAATACTAAAAAAGGGCTCTAAATAAAAAGGGAAAGGGAACTTGAAAAAAGGAAAAAAGTCATACCGATGAAATCTTGACTCGAACTGAGGGTACCACGATTTCGATATCGACCGATATCCCATTTGATCTATTATTACCTGTAATGTACTGGCAAAAGTTACCTTCGTATGCCAATGTTATAGTTATTGCCTGAAAACACGGATAAAATGACAGTCTTTAAAAACGAATCCTAGCTAGATCGATTTATTCGTTTTAAAGATATTAATATTATATAGATAAAGACTATGTATTTGTTTTTGCAACAATAGCATCTAGAATTAGCAATATCGTGTTTAGTTGTTAATATCGCCAAACAATCTCAATAAAAATTTTCTATTGATATCTTGGTCAAGCTTTATCATCATAAATTAGTCAACGAACACTGCTAAATTTTATGAAATACCGGCATTTCACTTTCAATATTCGACTAATATGATATAAATTCCAAGTAATCAATACGTATAAAAAATCTTTTTATTGAAGCTATAAGATAATAAGAGTTTTGTACTAATTGCAATTTTTATCATTTTATTTATAGATAAAGAAACTAAACACTAAAACTTTTTATTGCTTAAAAATTTAACTTAGAAACATCGTTAAATTTATTATTTTCGATAGATGTCACTATTATCTTTTTTAGAAGTAATTTGTTAGTAAAAAATTTATTACTATCTACTAAAATGAAGTCACAAAAAGTAAAAAAAGTACGTTAGAACTTTCAAATAAAAATAACTATATGAATGCTATATTATTTAATTTCTTAGTGAAGGCAAAATGTCATTACTTTTTGTATTTTACGTTAGATGGCACAGTTTTGAAAAAGTGAAAGACATTCACCTAAGACTGCCACACAGGCTGTTTATTCGAAATGTCTGAAGATTGTATTACTTCAGTAGCTTTGTATCGCGTCCTCTTTCTTTAGTGTATAATTATATATAAGTAAAAGTGTGATAGCAATCATTGTCGCCGGTTATTTTACCCGCCAAATACCCAGGCGCGAATCGGCCAGAAACTGGTCGCTTGCCAGACGCGCGTAATAAACTATCGGCCAGAATCTGGCCGGTCGCCAGACAACGTTAAAAATGTCCAGGGACAGTTATGAAATGGGAATATACCACAGTCGTTACTAAATAATCTTATCAACACCAGTATTACTAAAAATGGTAACTTTAAAACGGAAGATCACCAGCAACTGTATAATAACCCGAGAAACCAGATAAATGCTATCACAAAATCTTTCAAAACTTAAACATTCATGATGTTCCTCATTACTCAGCTAAATACGTATTATTTGCTGGATGGCTGTCGACAATTGTTGTCCTTATTTTCTTGTGGTGGCGGAGGAGAAGCTCTCCAAATGAGAACTCTGAGGAAACTGTCGAACGAATACCGCCGCGCCAAACGGAACAAGCAAGTGTCGATGTTAGACGTACTAAAAGTGTAGCGACTTCACCCATTGCTCCACGACTAGTAAAATTCGAGGTCCCTAGTTTAGTCAACATAGGGTGAAAGTGAACCTTTAATGAGACTGAACTTGACACATTAATATTTTATCATGGTTTTTCTTATTAGATATCACTTATCATATATTTATCGTCAAAAATTCTACCTACCTTAATTGTTATCATTAAGTATTTTAGTTACTTACACTGCTATTTAGCATTAACTTATCACCACCCCTAGCTGTCTTTTTTTCGAGAGGTGCAAGATGTACGGTAAAACGTACATGTTTCATGCCAACTTAGCAGTTTTAACTCTTAATAACACAGCACTGTTACGCGCCAGTACTCGGCGAGCAATGCACTTTAAGCATTCATATCAATCAATCGTTTCCTTATCATTCTAATATCATGTCAAATATATATCATACCATAGCAAACTTTATATAATTTATATCATCTATCACTATCATCAAGTATGGGAATTACATCTACATTTATTGGTCCTTCGAGAATACGAACAAGCGGGATCTTTCGTCACAAACTATTTATTCCGCAACTAAATGACCTAAAATAAAATAAAAATAATTCATAATGATTCGAACTGGTATTTTGTTTTATAAAAGTTGTTACATACGCTTCTATTACTGCAAAATGGCCAGTTAGAGAAAATGAAGCACTTTTAAATAGTTCCACTCGTTTAGTTCTTGGTAGAGCCATGCTGTACAGCTAAATTATGGTAGTAGCGTGAATGGGTCGTCTCGACTGGGGTAGATAAACGCTCGTTACCAAAGCGCGCGCTTCAAAACGCCTTATGCGTACTCTCTCTAAGCTCACTGATGATGGATGCCTGTTTAGTTTTACTCTAATTTTATACCCATTTTTATATCTATGTTCTATGTCATTAATTTTCGTATATATAATATATGTGATACGCCTACAAAAATAAAATAGTTATTATTATCAAACTGTCTAATTGCTATCTCTTTTATTTCAGGCGGAGTTGTTGCGTCGATCTTCCTTCCGCCAGACAAAATCGAAAAAGAATAACTAGAGTTTTATCTCCATGTTGTTAACTTAGTTATTGTTTTGGTCCGATATTTTACAAGAGTTCTAAGTCAATTTAATTTAAAGTTGAAGCCATCATAAATAAACAATTTTATTATCATAAAATTTGAAAGTAGTGTAGTGTAGTTGTAGTAGAAACCAAATTATGGATATTCCTTAAAGGTAGTAGACATAAATAAAAGTTAAAAATGTGTAAAATATTAAAGAATACAGTACTGATACATTGTTTTGTGTACATACATACATTGAAAATATAAAAACTAAAAATTAACGATGACACAGTTGGACCATCTGCGTAACAAAGAAGTTCACTATAGTTTCAGCTAGCGACATCTAGTGAGCGTAAGATTATTAGTTATTAACCTTCATTGAGTAAAAACTTCAAATACCCAACTATGGAATATAAATTCAATGGGGGTTCTTATTATTATTGCTTGTATTCATTCTTATAGTACAGCTTTTATTTATTTTTAAATATGGTGTTTTATTATGCATTTCTATAACCATTTACATAGATTTACGTAAAAAGTTACAGCCTATACCTCCCACTGATGGGAACAGGCCTCCTTCTCACTTCTGAGAGGGATTTAGGGCAAGGAAGTGTCCGCCATACTGCCTCAATGCGTGGTGGCGAACTTCACATGTCTTCGAAATATTTCTTTAAATTAATTTATATTATAAGTGACGGTATTATTACACTACCGTCACTTAGTAAACATCCAATGCGTTTCGTCCGTTGAAATTAATGATTATTCAGTGTTTAAAGTGAAGTGCACGACCAAAATCCCTCACCTTAGTGTAGTCTATTGTGTGACTAATTAGTATAACTTTATGTGAAAACGATCGGTGCAGTAATTATTGAGTTTTTAACCAAAACATTTTCTAACACGTGTTGATTTGTATAAAACCGTGACCTACGACAACTCGCCGCTTACTCGCTGTGACGTAGACGGGCTCATTGCATAGTTAGGCCGTCCGCACAGTAATCAAGTCTACAAGATGGATTCATATAGCTGCGCCGGTTGTAAAAGTGATATAGCAAGTAATGAATTTATAAGTTGTCATGAATGTAAATTAAAGTACGATGTGTTGTGTGCAAACTTGTCACCAAAACGATTTAGGAAAATGAGCCTAGAAGCTAAAACTCAGTGGAAATGCTCAGAGTGCAAAAGCAAGCAACCAAAAACAGGCAACTTAGATATACCAATTCGCTCTATTAGTCGCTCCAAAATTGATGACAAAATTAAACCCGAGTATCTATCTCAAGATTGTAATGTAACTGTGCGAAGAAATCGTTCAGTGGACTCACAACTTTCTCAAGAAAAATTTAAAGAAATCCTAAAAAAAGAACTGATAACTGAAATTGAGGCCATGCTTGAAAAAATACTAACTCGAATGGTATCAAATCAGCTGAAGGATATAAATAGTCGCTTTGTCGAACTTCAAGAGTCTATGACTTATATTTCTGGACAATATGATGACTTAAAAAAGCACCTAGACTCCACCGCATCGGATTTGCAGTGCCTCAAGGATGAGAACAAATTCCTCAAAGAACAATTAAATCACCTCACAACTCGTGTGAAGACTCTGGAAGACGATAATATGAAGCAACAACAGTGGGCTAGATTGCAAAATATCGAAATCACTGGCATACCAGAGGATAAGGATGAGAACACATTAAATATTATACAAAAGATTTCGAAGCATATTGGAGTCTCAATCGAACCCACTGAAGTGGAGTTTGCGCATCGCGTGCAGCCGCGGCGTGCCACAAGCACCGTGCGTGCGCGCCCTATTGTCGTTCGGTTAAGGCATCGCTTTACTAAAGACAAAATAATAGCCGCTGCACCTAAACATCGTAATTTAAAAGCCAGTGATATGGGGTTTGGATGTGTAACTAATATGATTTTTATAAATGAGCATCTAACAAAAGAAAATAAAATGCTTCTTTCACAGTGCAAACAAAAGGTAAAGGAACTAAATTACAAATTCATTTGGACAAAAAATTGCCGTATTTTCGTTCGAAAAAACGACGCTTCACCTCCAATCTCCATATCTTCTTCGGCAGATATTGTAAAAATTATTTAAAATCTACTTACCTGCTTATTCTGTGTACTTTGAAGCGTTTTCGTAAATTACTTGTGAATAGGTATGCACTTGTTACAAATTCTATGCTTTTTTATCAGCTAAAACAACTAGATACACTGTACACTATCAAAACCTCACACACGTATCATACATTATTCTCACATACATTAATAAATATTACCAAAATCACATATACCTGCATTCATCTAACGCTTTACTTATATACGTATACTTATTACATTCTCAAATATCAATACAGATTATCCTTTAAAAGATATAATGTTATTTATTATCGATTAATAATAACATATTTACAAGTAAAATTTACACATTTATTAATCATTTATTACTTATTCTTATTAAAAACTATTATTAACTATATTTATTCATATCTTACGCCTATACCTTGCTACATTTTTAGGTATCTTGATTATGTAATTGTTCACTATAACTATTATAAGTACTGGCATAGTCAACTGTTTTTTCAATGGATACTACACTGAAAGAATTAAAACTGTACTATCAGAACGTACGGGGTTTGAGGACTAAGATTAATGAATTTTATAATAATTTATTATTGCTTGATTATGATGTGGTTATGATAACCGAAACTTGGCTTTATGACGGAATCCTGGATTCAGAATTGTGTAATGATAAATATAATGTGTTTCGTCGTGACCGTGGGTCGTTGGGAGGTGGGGTCATGTTATTGTGTGCACCATACTTGCAGGCCCGTATGAGATCCGAATGGCATTGTGATAACCTTGAATGCGTTTGGGTGACGGTTCCTTCTAGTGCTGTGAGATTAGAGCACGACCTCCACATAGCAGTGGTTTACATACCCCCTAACTCATCACTCTCAGAGAGAACCAGACTGTTTGTAAATCTTATTTCACAAATACGTAATGATCATCCCAATGATCAGTTTATACTTGTAGGCGATTTTAACCTACCGTGTATAGACTGGACACAAGATGGACCTGTCATACTCAGGAAAGGCTCTGCTGAAGTCCAGAATTCTGCATCACAGCTCATTGACCATACGGCTTTCATAGGTCTTATGCAATATAATACCATCTTAAATAATAGTAATAAAATATTAGACCTAATTTTTTCAGACTCGTCCGTCACTGTTAGTAGATCCAACTTCCACCTTGTTAAAGAAGACTGTCACCACCCTTCACTCATTATCACTGCGTCAGATATACTCATACCTCCCTTGAAGACACAATCGCGATCAAAGTATATTTATGAGCGTGCTGACTTTAATATCATTAATAGAATGTTAAATCAACAGGATTGGTCGTTTATATTAGACACTAACACAAATATTGAGACTATAATAGCTGGTTTTTATGCAATTATAAATAACTGCATAGAAACATATGTTCCTCGGGTTTACCACTCTGGTGTGCACACTTATCCCATCTGGTATAGCAGGCCGTTAATAAATTTAATTAAAGAAAAGTTTAAAGTTCACAAATACTGGAAAAAATACAAAAACCCAAACGACTATGCTCAATTTTCAGACTTAAGAAGTAGACAAAAAGAAATGCAGTCAGATTGTTATAATTCCTATATAAAATCTTCACAACAAAAAATTAAAAATAACCCCAAATACTTCTGGTCCTATGTAAAATCTAAGAGAACGAATATTTGTAATTATCCTCAACAGATGACGTACAATAATTCAGTTATCAGTAACAGTTTTGACATTTGTTCCGCTTTTAATAAGTTTTTTGAGAGAAATTTTAATAAACCGTCTGATCTATATTTACAAGATACGCATAATAGTCCATTGCAAATTGCTAATATACATGACATTAAAATTAATAAAGAGTATATTTTAAAGCTAATTAATAATCTCGACATATCGAAAGGTGCGGGTAGCGACAATATTCCAACAATATTCTTCACCAAGTGTGCAGATGCTCTATCTCTTCCTATCTCACATATTTTTAATCGATGTTTTCAGGAAGGCTACTTTCCTCGCATTTGGAAAACAGCCCATATTGTACCAATTCATAAAAAAGGTCTTAAATCAACAATTGAGAACTACCGTCCCATTTCGATCCTGAACGTACTCAGTAAACTTTGTGAAAGAGTAGTCCATGCTCATATATATCCAATAATTGCCACTTCGATTCCCTCTGAACAACATGGATTTATAAAAGGCCGGTCAACTGCTACAAACCTTGGAGTCTTTGTAGACTATGTATCGAATAGTATGGATGGTGGGTCACAAGTAGATGTAATATATACGGATTTCGAGAAGGCATTTGACCGTGTTGACCACAGTATCCTTCTGCGTAAACTATCTGAACTGGGTATCCACGGTAATTTGTTGAGATGGTTCGAGTCATATCTGCGCAATCGTTCTCAAGCTGTAGTGGTAGGTAGTTCACGCTCCGACTTTTTGGAGGTACCATCTGGCGTACCGCAGGGTTCCATCCTGGGACCTTTGTTATATGCCACGTACTTATATGATGTTCGTAGATGCTTTAAGCATGCAAAATTTTTAATGTATGCTGATGATACAAAAATCTTTATGAAAATTAATGGGATTACTGATTGCAGTAACCTTCAAGCTGATCTAGATAGATTAAACTCTTATTATATTGAAAATCGTATTGGTATTAATTTAAAGAAATGTTGTTTTGTATCATTCACTAGAAAAATTAATCCAATTAAATACAATTATAAAATAAATAATTTTACTTTATCGGAGGTTAATAGTGTGCTTGATCTAGGGGTAAAAATGGATTCAAAATTAACATTTTCCGAACATATCGATACAATAGTCGCGAAAGCATACAAAAATTTAGGTTTTGTTTTACGAGTCAGTAAGCCCTTTTCAGACATTGGATGTTTACGAGTACTATACTTTGCATATG